GGGTTTGGGTTGTAGCCGTGTTGGTCTAAGGACATAGGCAGACAAGGTTCCTTGGGTGAATTTGATATCTTTTATTAGACCAACCCAAATGGTTGGAGAATAGTTATTAAGCAAGCTTTCGGGTTCAAAAACCCTTCGTCAGACTCAGGAAGCTGCAGCAGTTGGTGTGTGCTTCTCCTGGATGGAACATAGACTTTGGATTTTTGATACATTATAATCTGCCTGGCAACTGACTCCCCAGCCCAGCCCCTGGCTTGTTTACTTTTCATTCCATCCAGGAAGAGCACACACCAACTGCTGCAGCTTCCTGAGCCTGACGAAGGGTTTTTGAACCCGAAAGCTTGCTTAATAACTATTCTCCAACCATTTGGGTTGGTCTAATAAAAGAGATCAAATTCACCCAAGGAACCTTGTCTGCCTATATCCTTAGACCAACACGGCTACAACCTAAACCCCTGCAACAGGACAGAGTCTGGAGTTCACTTCAGTCTGTTAAATCATGTTAACACTACAGCTACTTTGTCCTTGCTAGGATTATACTTCATGTTAGTTATTTTATCATGATGTTGGTAGTTTGTTTGTTTTTTCCTAATGAAGTCCTTAATTGTAGATTCAGGTTATATTTTTGTTGCCCAAAACCATGTGTATTTACAGCTTAATAGCCCATGGATATTACTTCAGCTTTCTGGGTCTGCCCCACCACCATCAGCTTTTTTGGCAGAGCCTGACTTGACTTGATCATGTTTTTAAAAGTGTTAGCTGGTTAAGCCTACTTGCGGTTGTTAGAGACTTGCAGCTTTTCTATTAAGCTTATGCAAACTGCTGAATGAACAACTATTTTGGCCTGAGTGGCTTTTATATTGGGTTAAGTTAACTCTGTGTATAGGTAATTGAAGGTAATCTGAAATAAGTGTTTGCTTTAGTTCTGCTAATCGGTTTATTGCCTCTGAGTTTAAACCAACAGTTCCGTCCAGCAAAGACTCCTTCCTTTCCCCCGTTTTTAAGATTAGTAAATATTACTTCAGCAGTTTTGAACTGTCTGTATTGCAGGGTGTTGTCTAGTTTAGGAAGAGAGGTTTTGGCTAGCTGTTGTAGCTCTTCCCCAAGTTCCATTTCAACCAGCTATTGCATACCAACATCTGTACTAGGAAATAGTTGGTGGCCAAGTCAGGCTTAACTAATTTAAGAGCTTTCATTATGTAAATACTCTTCCACTATGTTTCTGATTGGTGTAAGCCGGGGTGGGCAACCTGTAGCACCCACGCCACAAGTGGCTAGCAGCAGGCCTGGCAAGGACCAGAGAGACTTGGGGCAGAACAAGGAGGAGAGAATAGAACAACATATGCCTAGTTAGAGCAGGAAGAAGAGTGCAAAGCAGCATATGCAGCAGATGGTGCAGGGAGAGTACACAGCAGTGGATCAGAAGGGGAAGGGGAGTGAAGTGGGGCTTACCTTGTGGCACACTTGCTAGAAGGTTTGGTGCCCAAGGGTATAAAATAACTATTTAAAAGAAATCCTTTTTCTCCCCCTTGCCCCCCCCCCGCCTTTCCTGTCTTCACTAGGCCTTTCTGTGTAGGCTTTTTATCACTCATTTCTGTAAACTTTAAAAATTGGTTTAGTTGAAGCAATGTAAAATTGCAAATGGAGGTTTTGTTAAATTAGATGAACTTTCTAGATTTATCATCTTCATCTGAGTAAGTGAGAATTGCCAACGAGTTACATGGAAGTAACCTTTTAAATTGGTTCTTAGTTTGTCCACATTATATGTTTTCATGTGTTTATTACTGCTTCAGAATTTTAATTCCCTGACCTCATTTTGTCATACAGTGAAACCAAAATGCTGAAACTTACTGTGGAATTTCTTTCCATAGTGTTAGCCTTCATTTTTTAGTTGTTCACACCTTATTTAAAAAAGCTGTTAGCAATTGTGATAGGTTGAGACACCATGCCCTAAACTTGTCCTGTCCTGTAAACTGCTTTTAACATACAAACAAATGAGATAACAGGCTATTTTAACAGATGAATGACTTGTAGAGCATATAAACTGCATTGCATTGGCACTTTCATTCATACGGTACTCTGAGTAATTGCTTGTGACTATTAGCAGTATGGGCAGAAAATAAGCAAATACTGGGGGAGGGGAGGGTTCTGCCTGAAGGAAAAACAATTTTTAAGAGCCACAAGGAAGCATAAATTGTCTGCATGTGAAAATGACCTTTGAAAGTTGCTTACAAACAATCCAGACTCCTTACCTACCAGGTTAGCATCTCCATTTTATGGAGTGTAGAACTGAGGCAGAGGGCTTAAGTGGCTTGCCTAAGGCCACACATCTGTGGCAGAGCCAGGATTTGAACTCAGAAGTTCCTGGCTGCCAGCCTGGAGTTCAGTCCAGTAGAGCACAGCTGGTTTGAATTCTGCACAGGATGATAGCTTTCTTTTCCCTAGCATGTGCTGGGGAACAAACCTTATTTAGCTGAAAAATTATAATGGATGTGAACAGACTAGGATTTAATATATTACCTTCCTCTCTGATATGGTACTTGGGGTTCGGCTGTTGCACATTACCCTATTTTGCAGTAGTTGCAGATTTCCGCTAATAAAGGAGTTGGCTGAATATACTTGGTCATAGGTTACAACAATTTATTGCAGAGCTTTAGAGTCTAGCAGAATTGCTTTTGCTGAACTATAGGAATTGTCAGTAAAAAGTTGCTATAGTGTAAATGTAAGCTGATAAATGGCTGTCTTTGACTTCATAAAATACAAGGAAATGGGCAAAGTAGGGTGGATAGAGTAATTCTCTTGTAATATATATATTTTTGTAAACTTGCAGCCTTTGAGGTGATTAGCCATGTTAATTTGTAGTCAGCCAAGAGGTAGCTCAGGGTGTCACCTTAGAGCAGTGATTCTCAACCAGGGTGCCATGAGATTATTTTAAAGGTGTCATAGAGTGTCTGTCAGTGTTAGCACTGTAAATTGTGCATTCCCCTATACGATTCACAAGATAAACCCAGAGATTTCAAATAGGAATTCCTATGGTCAAAAGTATTCTGACATTTCCTCAAGTTCTTTGCAGTAGAAGAATTGCTGTATTTCTCTGTAGTCAAGGAGTGAGTGACAGCTAGGAACTGGCGTT